AACGGAAAAATTACCAAATACCATTTATTTTAATACCATAGATTTTGATATTCATTACCAGAATTATGAATTTCCTTTTACCAGAAATGTCATTACTATACAGTTCGGTAGTTTTACCAGAATTTTTTCTCCGTGTATAATCACGAGAAAATTGTTTATATTATACATACTAGCGATAAACTAGTGATTTAGTATCAATGTTATTTATTCACTATAATCACAAATAACTATGGTTTGTATTATACATGCGTGCTTCGATGGAAGTGATAAACTAGTGTTTTAGTATTAATGTTATTTATTCACTATAATCACAAGTAACTATGGTTTGTATTATACATGCGTGCTACGATGGAAGTGATAAACTAGTGATTTAGTATTAATGTTATTTATTCACTATAATCACAAATAACTAGGGTTGGTATTATACATGCGTGCTACGATGGAAGCGATAAACTAGTGATTTAGTATTATTGTTATTTATTCACTATAATCACAAATATCTATGGTTGATATTGTGCAGACATGTTGCCGTAGAAGAGAGTAACTAGTGATTTTGTATAATTACTATTTATTATTGGTCTTATATAGGATGATAACTCATCTGATAACTAATCAGGATTATAGGTAGTTACTTGAAAATTATCCACTTCCACTAATTCGTTACTATAATTCTTCTAATGGTAAATATAATAAATATCATATCTGCAACTGAAATGTGCGTGCAGAATAATAGGGTGTTAATTGGATCTTGGAGGCTTAAAATAATAATAATAATAATAATAATCTAGAAGAAGTCCTAACACTCGAAACGCGTTTAACTCTTCCAAGGAACCCTAGTGTTCCGTGGAACACTTTTTGGGAACCGCTGAGCTAAATAATCATTTACTAATTTCTACACGTTAGCGGAGACAGTTTGTGTGCAAAATATTATTACCCATTGGCAAAATGGGTCTTGGTTTGGATTTGATGGCGTCCACACACTTTTAAACTGTGTTCAAGAGTTATAGTAAACAGTGCGCATGCGTTGTGATAGAATGCGTTGCTATGGCGACCGCTGCTGTTTTTGTTTTTATTTTCACCAGCAGGCATTTTTTTATGTATTTACATAATAATAATTTAAAGTATTTTATATTCTATTTATTATTAACGTATAATTACTGGCTTGACTGTGATTTTAATACAAAGTATTTTGGATTTTAATATAAAGTAGAAGGGAAAGTATGTTGCGACGTCTTGAAACACGTACATAGGCAGGATATATGAAAATCAATCCGACGACAAACATCAATTGAGACAGTTTTTGCAACCCAAGATTTGAAATTTTGGCGTTTAACGGAATCAATCCAGAAGGAAAAAGCATTTGACCAATGGGTAACCAGGGATCGTAATACGGCGATCACAACTTTTTTCTTGATTTTGTTTCTTATTTCATATTTTTATGCCAATGCATACTCATAAATCTTTCACTGCACATTCTTTCATGTAGAAAACAACATAATTTTAGCTCATAATATATTTAATAAATTTATTAAGAATATATACCATTGCATATATTTACTTTTTTAGTAGTTTTGTGGCGCAACTGCTGTTTACGTAGCAAACCACATTAGGATTGATTTATTGCTCGTAATTTTTATTACCATTTTTTAAACAAATTGTAACACTGTATTAATAAATTGCGAACGAAAAAAAAACTGCCACTAAAACAAAGACGCATCATTCATTGCGGCGTGTTTTCATTTTTCACAACCTAAAGTCTTTTAAAAGTCCTTTCAAAAGAAAAGGAGAGATAACGTTCTCCCATTTCTTTTTCGATCTTTTTCGCTTTAATGAAGCTATCTCCGGCAGAAGAAAAAAAATTGCACCTATAAATTTCCCCTTGGAGAACACTTACAAGGACTGAATGTCGCTCAAAGGTCGGGGTTCAACTTCTGAAAATATTGCCACTTTGTGAAATTTTGTGAGGTTATGCTTTTTTATATATATATTTTTTCTTACCCCCGTTCAACATCAATTCATTAGGGGAGTTTTTTTTTCAGTAACACTTTTGCTTGTAACTCTCAATTTTTCGAAATGATACTATTTATTTTAGATGCATTTTAAAAGTATTTTCAATTTTTTATTATCGTATACATTCTATATCTTTGTTTTTCTGCAGTGATAGTTTTAGACAATTTGTATTTGAACTTAAAATATAAAAATGAACCATGCCACACTTTATTATTTATTTCGCGTCGGAGGAAAGATCAAGAGAAGTTTAGGATGTGTAAAAAACGTGTTATAAAACAATTTTAATTTGTTTTTATCTCTGTCCATAAAATATTAAAATATCAATATGGCAACACAAAGAAATTTTAAACTTTGTAAAATCATAATCAGTTCGAAGTTGAACCGCAATACCAATAAATATAATCAAAAAACGGCACAAATTTTCAACAACTTAAGAAAGGTTTTAAATTGAACCCTGATCCGATTCAAAGTTGAACCCTAATATTGATCTCTTGAAATACAAAACAGGCTAAATTTTCGGCAACCTTAAGAAAGTTTTAAACTAAACCATGCTCCGGTTCAGTAAGGACCATAATACCCGTCTTGTTAAACTATAAACGATGCATTTGCTGCACTTTTCAGGATTTAAATTGAATTATGTTCTTATTTAAAGTTCAAATGTAATATCAGTATCTTAAACGATAAAACGGTGCAAATGTGCAGCATTTTACATTTAACCATGCTTATATTTAAGCTGGACCATAATATTGATCGGTTGGAACATGAAACCGTTCAAAATGAATGCAACCTTAATAAGATTTTAAATTGAATCATACTCCAGTTCAAAATTGACCATAATATCCGTTCTCTGAACAATAAAACATTGAATTAACTGCAACTTTAATTAGGATTTAAATTGAATTATAATCTTGTTTGAACCAAGTTCTGTCGTAAATTCAGTGGCAGAAGACATTCACTTATAATTCTAATTTTTTGTACATTTATTTTTATAAAATAATTGCAGCTTTAAATCGCTATACTAGAAGGCGATCCATGAATCTCAGAAAATGTGTAATTGTTTTGAATTTTTAAAATTTTTAGAACAGTTTTCTACTCTTGATCCATTGAGGAAAAAGAAGAAAAAAATCAATTCAGAGATATAAGATTTCACATACTGCATAGTTTTAGTAATCGTCATGCTTTTCTAATCATTTGTATAAAGATTTAAAAAATTTAAACTTTTTCAGCCTAGTCAACTTACCTGTCTAAAAAATATTTTGGTTGACATATGAAACTGCTTTTTAAACAAGGCTATTATGTCTTTTAATATTATTTTCCGTAAATAAAATATTTCAATACAGTTATATCAACTACTTACTTGTTTTAGTTATAACATTTAAAATTATCTATCATGTTAGCCCATATTTTAATTATGTTTTCTCCTTATTTTATAATTAATCGATACAATACTTTAATCATTTAAAAACTTCATAATTAAACAATGTATTTTTATTGTTCGTCTTGTAAGTTTCGTTATATTTATATCAATCAATTATTAGTTTCATTTAAAAAATGTATAGTTATTACCACGCAAACCTAGTTTTAATTATATTTATTCAAAATTTATAATTATTCCACATACAATTTTAATAAATTTAAAATTTCGTGCAAATAACGTATTTTTATTACTTTATTTGTGAGCATTTTTAAATTTTATAGTAAATACTTTGCAACAGTTAAAATCAACTCATTTATTAAAGAAATTATAAAATAAATGCATCTAAAAACTATCATTTGATAACCAGCTGAAAAAACCGTCGCTCAAAAAATATAAAGCAAATTGTATAAAAATTTCACTACAAAAGTACGAAACGAAATGTATAAAAAAAAATCCTTTTTGAGTCCGTGCTGTTTTGCTATACAAAAATGAAGTTCTATATGTCCTACCAACAACCTCTTAAATTATTTGTTGGCATACATTACTCATTTTTAAGTAAATGAAATTTAAAGATTAAAACCTTAACTAGAAATAAATGTATCAAAACATCATCATTTTGTAACAAATTGCGAAACTTCACTTCAAAAGCAAGAAGAAAAATGCATAAAAAATGATCAATTTTGAGTCTTTGTTGCTTTGCTATGCACATTGATACATATTATGAATTACCTCTTGGATCATGTGCTGGTATGCAATATATATTTCTGAGTGAATGGATTTCTAGGCTTAAAACCTTAAGTGGAAAAGCCATTTCGATGAAATAAGCAAATATATGATACGACTCGTATTAGGCATGCATTGAAATCTTTATGGGGGATGTACAGCCATTATTGCATTAGGATTATATTTTAAAGTGAATACAGACAGTAAATAGAACATTAAATGGAAAATTAGAGTTTCAAAAGTTTTATGCACTCTAGAGATTTGAACTACTGGAATTGAATTTAAAATTGGAAATAAATTTATCATAAGCTAATTGATCCCCGCATGTTATACATGAAAAGAAAAGAATATTGACGTTTTGAACGGATGAAGTTTTAAATATATGTTAAAAAAAGAAAGAGGAAAAGCTAAAATATGAAACTACATAAATAATTAATAAAATTAGCATTTGTAAGAAGAATAAGTCAATAACGCATCTTAATATAAAAAATATAATACTATGAAAGTATTAACTGAAGAAACTTAGCAATATTTAACTTTTTGTACTGACAAAAAAAAAATAAAACAAGCTAAACAAAACCGTATAACAAAAAAAAAAAAAATAATAATAGAAAAATGGATTAATTCTCATCCGCCTATTTTTACTTTTTATGTCTTCTTATTCCTTCAATTTTAAAATTTTGCTGATATATTGTTTGCATATTTACTATTTACTAATATATATAATTTGAGTATTTAATAATATATTGTTTGTTGACATCATTTGTATATTTTTACAAACTGAAAATGATATAATTTGCTCGTCATCAATAAAATGAAGTATTTTTCATGCATACATAGATTTACTTACAAAAACGCTGTTGTAGTCTCGTCAATTGCAATCCACAATGTTTATAATGACTGAGCTATTCGGGCCCTGAAACGGCAAAAAATCAAAGTAAATAAACATTTATTAATTTTAAGAATGACAATCATGAACATTGTATTCATTTTTATTTCTTAAATTCCAATATTAAAAAGTTTTATACATTCCAGACATGTTCGTTAAACGTTGATTTTGTTGCAGTTCCCGTAAATGGTCCGAAAACAATAGCACGGCATTTCAATAGCCAGTTAAAACTTATATGGTTGTAAAGATATAATCTGTAAATCTTGATTTCGTCACAAAACTGTAAGTTAAGCTGTTTAAAAGCAATAGTAATGTAACAATACATAGATAAAACTTATAAGACTGTCATAAAAGGTATATGTGTATACTGTACAATCGAGACCTTAAACAATATGATTTTGTTGCAGTTGCTGCAAATTATATTTTCGAAAACCAATAGTAATTTAACTAAACCTCATTAAAACTTTCAAGAATTCACGCATAAAATCTTTTATAGACAATACTTTCGACATAATTGCTATGACTTTTAAAGTCGAAAATGGCATCGAGTTTTAGGCAGAAGTTAATTGCAGTTCTAAATACTCCAATAATTTTAAGCTGGCAGATACATAAAATTAAAATACGATTGGGGAGTTACACTCAGTGTATACCTTCATTGTAAGGTATAAACATTTAAAAAATATTTAAAAAACAAAATTTAAATTTGAAATCTGCAAAAAAATATTTTTTTTTTGTTTCATTATTTTATTTGTTCACTAGATTCTATAATTTTTTTAATATCTATAATATTTTTAATATTTTGTTGATTACTGACTTTTGTTAACAAAAAAGAGCTGTTTTTACATCTTTTGTACAAGCAGTCCTTTTTGTTATATACTAGCTCTTCATGTATTCGTGACTTATGACAACAAAGTATGTCAACAAAGTATGTCAACAAAGTATTAAGTAAAAGTGGAGTAAAAATTCGAAACTATCTCCTCGATTCTCAATTGCATTTTGTTGCTTTAAACATTGTTAATTTAAAAACGATGTTTACATACTCTGAATTATTTAATTAATTAATTAATTAAAATAAATTTCCTTTTTTTTTCTTTACCGTAAATTTTTCCAGGCCACAAGCTTTCAATTATCCAAAAAACGTCTTTTTTTAAAAAAAAAAAATACTCTTTTCCAATGCATTTTTTCAGTTAAATTAGAACTAATTCTTTTTTAATTATTTCTAAATTTAAAAGTTTTTCTACAAAGGTTTTGATTTTTGAATGTGAATTAAATTGGGCAATTATAATGATTGTTATCTTTTTAAAACTAACTAGTGGGCTGCGCCCCCTGCTCGCTAACGCTCGCCAACCCCCGAAAATTGCTACGCAATCTTATATGGTTTGCTTCGCGTACCAAGATCGCTTCGCTCGCTACTAACTTAGGTACATTGCAAATGCACACAATTCTAAGAATTCAAAACAATCATTCAAATCCATATAAAAAAATTACATCTTTTTAGTAAATACTAAGTCATTAAAATAAATTTGAATTCAAATAAATGACATGTAATTCGTTAAACCTATTAGAAATGTGCTATAGTATAATTCGTGATGTAAATCAAAAATCGTCAAATAAATTCGTAATGTATAAATTCGTGAAAAAAAGCGCTTTCGACAAAATACTAAAATAGAGATCTATCGACAAAGACTACTCACTTCTGCCTAGCTTAATAGTATGAGATTGCCGCAGCTGATGCTCTCTGGTTATTTCAGTTTCCGTTTTTAAAAGCGCTATATGTTGAGTCACCTCAGATAGATTTGGCATGTGACATTTTTAGCGGCAATCATGGGTCGATTCGCCGTGTAACAGAAATAGTAGCGTAAGCAAAACAAAGCAAACGTTGCCACCGGCGGAAAAGAAATAAAGCCAAAATTTGGGAGCCACGTAAGAGAATTATATATATTAGATATTTAGATCTATTGGTAAACAGAAGTGATTTTTCTAAGTAATCATTTTTTTAAATAACATTTATGTTGTTATAACGTTATATTGTTGAAACAAATTTGATGAGTTCACATCCTTAATTTAATATTTTCACTTACCAAGCGGTAGAATATATTAAATACTTTTTTTTTGCCTGCATCTCATTGTGCATGAAGCTGATTCTTAAGTTCTAAATCATTTAACAGATCTCTTTAACTGTAATTTATAACAGTATATTAATGTCATTTGCTCAAAAATAATAATTGTTAGACCACCTTTCTAAATAACTTTATCTTAAAATGTAAGGCAGATTTACATTATAATACTAATAAAAAAACAGCAATTCTCTTAGTTTTAAACTCTTGAATTAAAAGCGTAATAATAGCAGTACAGGAAAATAACTTTAAGTTAGGGATTAAAAAATATTTATAGAAAAGCATGACTTTTATTAATTTTATGCTGACTACAACCAAAACAATAAGGAGACGAATGAGGAAAAACTGGATCACACCACGTGATTTTCTGGCCAATAAAAATGCACCGACAACAATGGAAAACTGCGACACCATCATTAGAATTTTATATATAGTAAGATATCTTAAAAATTTACGTTTATATCATAATAATAATTTTATAATATAATAGTTTGGATCGTTAGTTTATATTGTTAGTTTTTTTTAATGTAACGATAAGATTACAAAAATGATTCTACGAAATTTTTGAAAAGCTGCTATTAAAACCCCTCAAAACAAATTTTCACATTTTCTATCAAAGCACTGGAAAAAATAGGGTCAAAACAATTAGAATAGGGTTAAAATTTACCGTGTTTTTGGCTTTATGAGAACACCAAAAAGCACGGTAATTTTTACCGAAGCGTTTTGGAAATATTAACAATACAATATGATTGTATAATATGTGTTAAAATGTGGTAAATGTGATAAAATTTAGTAAGTGTTAAAATGTGGTAAATGTGATAAAATTTATTAATTTAATTACAATACATTACAGCAGTGTTTCCCAAACGTATGACTTTTGCGCACCCTTTCTAAATTTTTCGTAACGATTCGTAAGATTTCATGCAAAATTTAACTTTTGTTAAGCTTTTTAATAGAAATTAAGAACATTATCTGACCTTTAATACATCTGCTTAAACTATTTATAAGAAGTGATGGATAAATTTTATTATATAGTTTATTTAAATATTAAGACATTACCTTTTACACCATTAGGAAAGTAGATTTCTGAAACTACGAAAATTCCGCAGTAATTGGAAGATTTAGGTTTTCAAATCAACATTTGAGTAAAAAGGAAGAATAAATATTCCAATTTCTGACGAGTCACTGATGAAGTCATTAAAAGTTAAAGGTGGAATTAAAAGTCTCTGGTTTGAGATTGTATTTGACAATGAAGTTTAACGACGACTTTGAAGCTCTAATAGACAAATAAACCGCGCTTGATGACTTTAATCGCTAATTAGCTCTTCTCGATCGCAATCATTATTAACCCTTTCAAGACCAGTTTTTTTTTCTTTAACACACTTTTAAAATTCAATTTAAGAAAAATAACAATATTCTGCCAAAATATTAAAAAAAAAATTCTGTGTGTATTATTGGGGGACTGGGACAAATGTGACCTATCGGAATTTTTAGACGGGACACATATGTCCCAATGGCGTTTCTGTTCTTTTACGACCGAAAAGGTTAAACGATTTTTTTTCTTTTTCAAAGTGCTTTAGTAACGTTCAATATGCGTAAGGTTTTTTTTGGAATATTTTCAAAGAATTCTAGAACTATATATTTAAGCCAGGCATTGCCAAATTATCTTTAAGTAAGACTCCTAATTCCCTGCATAAAGGGAAAATAAAAGAGAACAATCCCGTAACACTTTTCCCTAGAGGGAAAATGAATAAGGAGTTATTTGTTGACGTGGTTAGCGCTGCGTATAAACTCGCCTAACTATATTGTTATTCTTATTACGTGAATTTTATTTTTATATACTTTCATGAAATTCATGTCTTTTCGAAAAGGAGTTTTCTTTGGCTCTATGCTATTTTTTTCTATGTGTAGGGAAAAAAATCACAGTTTTTAAATAATACGAATACAACAGTCAAACTTAAACGAAAATTCAAACATACAAAGATATTTTTCTAAGAAAAAAATCGTAAATCTAATAAAAAAAAACATTTATTGCTAAATACGTAAACAAGTATGACTAAATTAGCACCGAAACAATAAATATACACTCATTAGAGTTTTCACTTAATGCTAACTCAGCAACCCACATTAAACGGAAATTCGAAAACATCTTATTCTAAAAGAAAAAAAAGTATTCTAATAAAACACTTGTCACTAAACATGCTAATATGCTCTAAATTAGAAATAAAATTCAGGAGATTTGCACGAATTACAATTTTCAACTAATGCTAACACAACGGTTAAATTCTGATGGAAATTCAAACTCCCAGACGAAGAGAAAAAAAATGGAATCAAACAAAAAACCACTTATCATCAAATGAGTGAAAAGGTATACTCAAATTTGCAAATAAAATACAACGGTTACAATCTTATCACATTTTTTAATAAGAATAACACAGCAACGCAAAGTGAACAGAAAGTCATATACAATAATATATTTTTCTGGGGAAAAAAATAGAATCTGGTAAAAAAATACCTACAAATAAATGCGTGAATAAGTTTGCTCTAAATTAACAATAAAATATAATAGTCATACTCTAATTGCAACTTCTATGATATACTAGCACAACAACCCAAATTAAGCGGAAAATTAAAAACCATATTTTTTTTCAGAGGGGAAAAAATGTATCAAATAAAAAAACACCCATTACTAAATGTGCAAACATGTATGCTGAAATTGGCTGTGAATTATAACAGATAAACTCTCATTACAATTTTTCAGTAATGCTAACAGAGCAATCCAGCTATAATGTAAATTCAAATAGACAAGCGTCATTTTCTAAGAGAGAAAAATACTGAATCTAATAAAAAAAAAACACTTATTACTAAACGTGTGAATAAATAACCTGTAAAATGGAAATAAATTATAAA